ATCATTTATATAGTGGCTAGTCCTTTTTATAAGATAATGGATTACGCTAGATTAGTATAGTTTGATGACTGGATTATGACTATTAGAGGTTTAGAGTGACTTCTCGTTAGATATAGACGTTGTTCGTAATACTAGATTTGGCTTGATCATTTAATATCTATGCATTACTTGAACACCCTGAACAAAATCGGGCACTTGTGACCTTTGCATTTCTTCTTTGCACCACCTGATTGCTTAAACATTAGGAAAACATTCATACCAAGAACATCATAAAGTATCTATTCTCTATAGTGCTTCCCGATGGAGATAAAAATTATGTAAGTCAATGTTACTCGAACTTAAAAACCTGCTAACCCAACGTAGAGCATATAGTTTTTTTCATGTGGTATAGTGGGTAACTTCAGATAATCAAATAACTTCTGTGAAACTAAGTTTTGTGTGTTGCCAACTCTGCAAGTTAATGTTACTCGAACTTGAGAGCCCTTGCTGACCCAATTTAGAGCATATATTTTTTCATGTAGTTTTATGGTAACTTCAGATAATAACCTAACTTATGTGAAACTAAGTTTTGTTAGCGCTATCATTTTCCACAATCAAGTTGTACACTTTGTTGTTAATAGAACAACTAGGTGATTCGCCCGCGTTGTACGCGGGTAAACTTTTTATATTTATTTTTTCACTTTAAAAATGTAAAAAAAATATGCATTGTTTTTATTTTTATCATAGATATTATCGATATTTTTTGGATAATAATATGAATTTTCAGAAGTTTAGTTTACTATTTTATTATTGTATATACATAGACGTGTAGTCAAATTAAAATATATAATTTATAATTTAATACAAACTAGATGATTAACCCTCACCGTGTGCGGGTATGCGAATTTATAGAAAAATAAATTAATTTTAGTATTTTTAGCAATGTAATTTGTCATTAATAAAACAAATATGCATGATTTTAAGTTTTTAGTATATGTAAACGATGGATAATAATATGTAATATTTCGTAATTAGTGAAATGTGGTGTTGCCATACTAAAAAAATTAGAAGTATAAGAGCCCAAGAAAATTTATTTGTTTTCTCTTCTTCTTATGTTATTTATCCGCATAATGTGCATGTATGAAAAATTTGTAAATTTTGGTAATGATAATAATTATCTACGTTTTGTTATCATTCATTAATATTTACCTTTTGGTATTTGTTTATTTTTTTCCTTCTTTTCAATCGCCTTTGTTTTCTTCGTCTTATCTGATTCTTTCCTGAATTCTTTTTTATCTTTTTTGTGTTATTCGACTTCGTCTTTCCTTCTTCTTTATCATCTTTGTTTTCATAATTTGTCTTTTTTTCGTCCTATTCCTTATCTTCATTATTCCCTTCAGTTTTGTTTGTTATTTTAGTGCTTTTTTTTATTTTTAGGGTTGTTACTTGCAACTAAAGTCGCTACGGTTTTAATTCTTTTGTTGGTTCTTTGTTTTTCTTTGATTTTTTCTTCATTTTTTGTTTGTTTAATCTTTGCTTTCATTCTCTCTTTTTTTTTCTTCTTTACCATCTTTGTCGATTTCCAACATTTTCTTCTCTTTCTAAATTTTCTTTGTCTTCTTCTTCTTCTGATTTTTCTTCACCTTTTTCTCTTCTTATTCTTGTTCTTTCTCTTCTTCAATTCTCTTTGACCTCTCTTTCTTTTTCATTGTCTTGTTTTTTTCCACCTACTTATTCTTACTTTTTGTTCGAGTTATAGTTTTGATTTGAGTAATATTACTCTAAATTTTATAAAAGTTTTAAAAAATATGAAAGGACTGAGCGATCTATCATTGTAGTTTTAAAATACTAGAATATTAGTCACGCGATACGCGAGTTTAAATTTTACAATTTAATTAATTTAGTAACTAAAGATCGATTTCTTTATTAGTTTAGTATTTCTATTTGACAAAACAATTATTTTTTTACATACAAAAATAATCTATGATTTGAATACATATATTATTTTTCTTATTTATACTACGTGAAAATATCAAATGATTTCTCAATCAAAATACCATGGTTACTATTTTAAATATATTTTTTTAAAATTTTTTCATCTACACATAGTTTTTTTTTAATCAACAGAGCTATATAACTTAGATTGATTCAGTCTCCGAAACCGGAAAAACAGAGTTTACATAAATAGTTTCTTGAGATAAATCTCAGACGCTCTGTACAAGCTTGTCCGCCTTGGTGTTCTTCGATCTTGGAGTGTGTGTGATATTGATTCTTTCAAACAGCTCCTTGCTCCTGACTAAATCAGTATCACAATAAATCATATAGTATAATATTTACATAAACAATTATCACTGAGTAAATCAATATGTACATATATTTACATATGAATAAATCAGTATCTTGCTCCTTTCAAACATCTACTTATAGTTTGTCACTGAATAAATTATGTTATCTAATTAACCAATTAATATTAAAAACTAGTGAAAATCCACGCGTTGCGCGGAACAACTACTTAGATGATTTTTAAAAATATTTTAATATTATATATTACTAACATTCATATACTTAAACGATGTTTAAGATTTATGCTCATAATTTATATTTATACAAATGCAAACTCATTTTTAAATATTTTAAAATGAAAGTGAACCATATGATGATATATATAAATATTTTCATTTGAATACTATATTTTCAATTTTGCTCTAGAATTCAACGTATTCTTTTGGAATCTTTTCGTTATAGTTCGTGTCCAGTATTGAAAAAAAAAATTTTTGAGTCCACACATGACCGAAAAGATAAAACTTATAAAGTAAAATATGCAATAATTTATAGATAAATACATGTTAAAAATAGTGAAATTTAAATGCTTTTGAAATTGATTGATCACATATTTGGTTTACAGAATTTGATTCTTATATTATCTAAATTTATATAGCTTCTACAACTTTTTAACAAAATGACAGTTTTTTATATAATTTTTTTTTTAATTCATGTCTTTATAAGTATTTGCATAAAATTTTCTATATAAAAATCAAGATCGTATGTGACATCAAAAAGTTTTTTCAGTTTTTTCAGAACTATTTTTTTATCTTATCAATAAATGAAGTTCATTACATTTTTTTAAATACATTTTCCAATATTAGTTGCATAGAGAAAAAATCTAGTACAAAATTCTCAATTTCTATTTATACAAATTTAAACATTATTTTTAAATGTTTAATATAAAAGCGAACCATATGATGATATATATAAATTTTTCATTTGAATACTACATTTTCAATTTTTCTCTAGAACTCAACGTATTCTTTTGGAATATTTTCGTTATAGTCCGTGTCCACTATTAAAAAAAAATATTGAGTCCACACGTGACTAATATCTCTTTATAGTATAATTTCTTATAATTTATTTTTCCCTTTTCTCTTCGTTTCGTAAGTTTATAGATTTTTGATGTTTAGAAAATAATTCATTTTTCTTATATAATTTTCTCTTACATGTTTTGTTTGTTTCTTATATATATAGTTAATTTACTGTTTTATTAAATTTTAGCAAAAAAAGTGGATTAAATATTGTTTAGCTGAAAAAGATGTTAAAGAGCATTTGAACTAAACCGACTAATTCACTTATTTGATTTTCTAAAACTGAGATGAATTGTTAAAGTATCAACGTATGACCAAGCCAAATAACAAAATTTTCCAAAACAAATAAAATTATAGTTCGGTTAAGAATCTTTGAAAAATTATTTATCTTGAATTCATAAATTCATACACTTTTATATTAGATTATTATATTTCATTAAATGGATATAAAATATAGATATACATGGATTAAGTTGAAATTATACAATATACTTGAATACTTGTTTTTTTTTTATGTAGAGATCTTAGAATGGAGAAAAAAATAATGTCTTGTTG